GCAAGAGGAGCCAGGGTGGGGGCTCTCCTGCTTTGTAAGGGGAAATAAGCGGGGATGAGCTGAGGACACTGGGTGTTTTAAATGGCCTGCCAGCTGGCTGCTTTCCTGAAGCCTTGGCAGGAGCAGCTAGCCAGCCAGTTGTCCAGAGGCCACCAGCTACTTAGCAGTTCTAAAGGACGGAGCAGGTCATGTTTCTGGTTACAAGAAGCAGCATGGAATAACCCTGTGCACTTGTCCTCATGGCACTCAGGGACAGTGACCATTTGCTGGGAGAAGCTGGAGTGGAGCTAAAGGCTAAGAGCCTGCACCAGAAATCAAGAGTTTATTTATTTATTTATTTATTTTTTCAGACAGGGTTTCTCTGTGTGGCCTTGGCTGTCCTGGAACTCACTCAGTAGACCAGGCTGGCTGCGAACTGGCAGAGATCTACCTGCCTCCGCCTCCCGGGCACTGTGATTAAAGCATACGCCACCACCACCCAGCAAGAGAATTTTTAGAAATCATTTTAGTTATCATGATTTATTTTTTCATCTATTTGGCGTGTGCATGTGTATGTGTGTGGGCCCATGCATACCGTCATACACATGGTGGATATTCAGAGAACAGTTTTCAGCAGTAGGTTCTGTCTTCCTGCCATGTGAGTCCCCAGGATAGAACTCGGCATCAGGCTAGGAGGGGAAGGTCCTTTACCCAGTGATCATCTCATCAGCCCATGGGGGGGGGCTTTATTTGTTTATTCATTTTACTTATGGAGGAAATGTTAAGGCAGAGTCTCATTGTGTTGCCCTGGCTGCTCATGAATGAGAGAACCTTCCATCGCAGCCTCCTGAGTATTAGGGATAACATACATGTGCCACCACACCTGGCTTTGTGAGGATGTCCTTTTTTAGCATGCGCTTGGATGCTGTGTAGCAAGAAACACATGAAAATGAGCTTAACTTATTCATTCAACAGTTTTGTAAACATGTTACATAAAGAAACACCTGTAAGCAGCCCAGATGGGGCCTGGGACTCCAAATGTCCACTGTCAAGTAAGCAGATGATTCTAGAAGAAGTACAGTGTCCGGATTTTGGGGGACCTGAGAGTTCTCACAGGAAGCAGTACCTAGAATGGAAAAGCGTAGGAGACTGGCGTTTCTTCTGCTTTCATTCAAACTACTGAGAGTGTCTATGGTAGTGGAGGGACAGTGATATTCCTTATTTGTACTGTGCCTGCGTCCTTCCGCTCTCCCTGCTGGCCTCTCATTCCCAGCGCAGGCTCCCAGCGCTGGCTCTGCAAGGTTTCCTTCTACGTAATTTCATTTCTAGGTCTTGGCAATGCTGTCCCACCTTTCAGTGTTCAGAGATGTGCGGTATGTCGTGCGTTTGTCTTCCATTCTCCATTTAGTCAGTGTGTTTCACTGGTCGGTTATCGAAAATCTACTCAAACGTGGTAGTTCAGACAGCTGTGGTTTGTTCCATGGGTCACATGGGGTCCCTCTCCGTTTCTCTTGGGCTCCTTCATGAGGTGGCTGGTGGGTTAGACGGAGGGTTTCTCTTGGGCCGGCGGGTCCGAGATGGCCTACGTCGTGTCTCTGAGAGTTGGTCCTGGCTATTGCCTTGCACCCTGGTTCTCCTTGGGGCTTTTCTTCTAGGAACCTATACCTTCTTACATGGTCGTTTCTGGATGGCCCCCAGCCAGGTAAAGGCATATGCTTGTGGGAAGCCTCGTGTGACCGTTTTAATGTTACTTGGCTTCACCCTGTTGTCACGAGTCCCATCATGGATGCAGGGGCCGACTCGGCTTCTCCATGAAGATGCAGGGACGTGGAGCCATTATTGTACATTGCATATTGCCTATACAATGTCACCTGATTCTGTCTCTCTGTTGAAGTAAATGTGCCAGCGTTATACTGAATGGAAAATTTTTGGGTTTTTTGAGATAAGAACCCTGTGTGTAGCCCTGGCTGTTCTGGAACTTCCTCTGTAGACCAGGCTGGCCTTGAACTCACAGAGATCTGCCTGCCTCTGCCTCCCTTAGATTTTATATGAATTCTGTGATGTGCTGAACACGACTTATAATGGGGTCTGAGATAAGCTAATCATGTTTATTAAATAACTCTTGAAATCTCTTCTCTTTCTTGTTCTTGTTTGGACTTTTGTTGTTTTGATTTGATTTTTGTCTGAGACAGCATCTCACTGTGTAGTTCAGGCTGGCCTCAAATTCATGATCCTTTTTCCTCATGGGCTTCTTTCTCCTCCTCCTCCTCCTCCTCCTCTTCTTCTTCTTCTTCTTCTTCAGACTGATAATCTACAAATCAGGAGATGAAGTAGAACAGGTTCTGTTTTCCTTATTTGGTGTGAATTTGTGGTTCATTTAATTGCCAACAGAATGTAGGTGCTTGAGGATGGGTTGAGAACAGGTGTGGATGCCTGGCATCATTCATCTGTAGCACAACAATAAAAACCCAGAGACAGATATTGGGGTTCAAGCTGAAGATCAGAGAAGTAAAGTGGCCAGCCACCAGAGAGTTCTTACCTCTACCTCAGACTGAAATGAGTGATGCTATTTCTACGAATGCTCAGAGACAAAGACTGACTGCTCTGCTCTCCACCAAGCCTCAGACTGCAATCCCCTGAGTTCCTGTCTCCTCCTGCTTTATATTCCTCTCTCTGCCCAACCATGTCACTCCTGTCTCCACCTCCCTGGAGCTGGGATTAAAGGCATCCCAAGTGCTGGGATCGCCTTTGTGTGAGCTCTGTTTCTCTTTCAGACTGGATAGATTTCTTGTAGCACACTGTGGCCTTGAACTAACAGAGATCTGTCTGCCTCTGTCTCTTGAGTCCTGGCATTAAAGGTGTGTACCACCACTGCCTGGCTCTAGGGCGGTGGCTAGCTTTGCGTTTTGCTCTTCAGTGGCTTTATTAAATCATCACCACATTCATCTAAGAAAATACTGTAGTTTACTGGGTTTAAAATGTGAACATTTTAAACTAAAGTGGTGGCGTTGCCAGAGATGAGAGGGCCTAGGCATAAGTGAGGTTGCTTTAAGAAGTAAAAGGTATAGGTCATCTGACAGCTGGGTGGCCAAAATAGAGGCATCTCAGCCAGGGTTTTAGCCAGATAATGGAATCCCCTACTAATATAGGGCCATATTTGGATAGAAAACCATGTATTCAGGTTTTGGTTTTGCTGATCTTGACAGATTCTTAGTGCAGTTTTGGCTGACCTGGAACTCACTATATTATACAGGGTGGCCTTGAACTTATGGATATCTTCTTCCCTGAGATCTTTCTATCCCAGCTTCCCAAATACTAGAAGTACAGGTGCCACTCAAGAGAAATGTGGTGGGCACAAAGGTGTGGATAGGACCTGTATACAGCCCTCTGTGGCCTACAGTCATTCTCCATGATGCATCCTGACTTTATTATTTGGGTCACTGCTGCTAGACTGTCGCGTGTACTCCTCTCCCTCAGGGGATATGTACTGACTAGCAGAGGGTTAATCAGGAGTGAGGCAGCCTGCTGTGTCAGTGTAGGCTCCATAGCCAGACCTGGCTGCTGAATGGGCTCCAATCTGGGTAAACAATCTCAGTGCTCAGCATACTTTCTTGCAGTACAGCAATGTCCACAGCATATGCTCTGGGGATTTTCTACCCCTAGACCGCTCCATCATTTACATCGTGAATTGGGTATTTTCCATGTAATCTCGGCCAACTGAATGGTTCACCTCGCCAGGCTCAGGTGAGGGGTTTCTTTGCTTGTTATTGTCACGCAGTCTGGGATAAATTGACATTTCTTCACATTTTCCTAAGAAAAGTTGTGCGACACTGAGAAAGATAAACACATGGAAGAACGGGAGGAAAACAGTAGCATGTGATATCCCTCTAGGTGAGGGCCATGGCAATGAAAAACGACACGGGTTCGCTGGTGTTCTATATAGATGAATGAAAAGGCACTTTCTGGCTCCAGCCAGATCTGGTTTGGAAATAAACTAGATAAAATAAAGGCTGTGAAGATAGAATGTGGAAGAATTGGGAAATTTGGGGAAGACATATTAACATGGTTGTAAACACAGAATCCATCTGCAAGTCATAGCCAATCCAAGGACAGACCTGCATCGCAAGACCCTGTCTCAAAAAAAGAAAGAAAGAGGGGAAGAGTCAAGTGGTGGTGGCGCATGCCTTTAATCCCAGCACTCAGGAGGTAGATGCAGGCAGATCTCTGTGAGTTCAAGGCCAGCCCGGTCTACAAAGCTGCACAGAGAAACCCTGTCTTGATGGGGGAAAAAAGGAGAGAAGAAGGGAGGGAAGGAAGGAGAGCAGGCTGGGAAAGGTAAGCTCTAAGTATACATGGAGATTGTAGAGGGATCACTTACGCATCACAGCTGCTATAACAAAAATACCACAACCTGGGTGGCTTAAACAATAAGCACTTGTTTGCGAAGTCAAGTTGAAGCTGCCACTCAGTTCAGTGAGGGCTTTCATCTTGTTTGCACACAGATGCCCGTGAGATGAACTGGTTATCTAATTATTCTTTATCAGTTAAAAACTCAGGAGTCCATGCTAGATTGCCTCGCCCAGTCTCGATGCAGGGGGAGGGCATCAGCCCCGCCTCAGCTCAACATGCCATGCTTTGTTCAAGGCCTTGGGAAGCCTGCCCTTTTCTGAATGGCGATGGAGGAGGAGCGGATGGGGTGGCAGGTAGATGGGAGTCAGGAGTAGGGAATGCGGGGAGAGGAAAGAAGGGAAACTGTGGTCGGTATGTGAAATAAATGAAATCATGTTAAATAAATAAAGGTTTAAAAAAAAAAATCTGGGAGTCTTGTTCATTCCTCTCTTGGAATTGACATTTGTCACAGCATAGGACGGCTACACCTGTCTGTCTGACAACTCTTCTGTAATACTTCCTGGAAGCCTATGATATACTTCCTGGGCACCCATGACGTCCGCTTTCAGATGAGCTCTTTTCCTTTTATTTATGTTTGCTTTACTTTTCTTTTCCTTGTTTTTCCCTCCCAGACTGATGAGCCCCGAAACTACACTCCTACAGCCTAGGGAAGAGGAAGGGGTGAAGTATGAGCGAACCTTCATGGCGTCCGAATTCCTGGACTGGTTGGCTCAGGAAGGTGAGGTTACAACAAGGAAAGAAGGCGAGCAGCTTTGCCATCGACTCATGGAGCACGGCATCATACAGCATGGTGAGTGTACCGGTCAGTGCTTGCTACAGCGACGGACGATCTCATAACCTGCGGTTTGTGACAGCATGCACTAATTCCTCACTCCTGGGTCCCGACAAACGATCTCATTCCTGGGTCCGTAAGCCATCTGTGCCTCTGGACAGTGTTGAGAGTTAAGTTCAGGTTATGTTCCTTGCCTTGCCCGTTCATTGTGACGTCAGCTTAAAGGGTTACGTCATTTTGCAGATGTTTCGGCAGATGCTAAAAAGGGAAGGCAAAGTCTTTTTTTTTGCTTTTATGTCTGTGAGTGTTTCACCTACGTATGTGTCTGTCTGCACCACATCAGTGCCCGGTACCCACAGAAGCCAGAACAGGGTGTCAGGTCACCTGGGACGGGAGATGCAGATGGGGTTGTAATTGCCATAGGCATGCAGATAGTTGAACCTGGGTCCTCTGGAAGAGCAGACAGTGCTCTTAATGGCTGAGCCATCTCGCCAGCCCAAAAAAGCAGATTCATGAAGAGCTTCCAAAAGCTCCACTTAGGTATGGTATCACATCACAGTTCCACATACAACTGGCCCTCACAGTCACATAGTCACTTTGCATGCGAAGGCAGGAAGATTGGAAGTGCAAGGCTATTCTTGACAACATAGGAAGTTCAACGCCAGCTTGAGCTATACGAAATCCTCTCTCTCAAAGACAAGCGCTAAAACGTTTCACAAACGGAATAAGCAATTTTGTTTGTCAGATCTCCCATCCATGACCTTGGGGAAGTAGTGTTTGGGTCAGGAAAAGGAACCATGGGACAAGCTGCATGGTGAAGACGGAATAACAAAAGGGTTTTTTAAACATTTTCTTCCTTATGGGATAAATTGTAAGGGTGCAGTATAATCTTTGGTTAAAAATTTTATTATCTTTACTGCATAACAAAAAGCCACTAACGTTTATTGGATAACCTACCAAAACTCAATGGCAGTTTCTGTGGATCAGGAATGGGGGCAAGGCTTAGCTAGGATAGATTTCATTAGGGTCTCACCGGAAGCTGTGGCCACACTGAGAGGCAGGACTATAAGACTAGAAAACTCACATCCACAATGGCTCTCTCTTATCTGGGAAGTGAGGGTGGTGTCATTGGGTGAATGTAGGAATAATAGACCCAGAGCTCTCATTTAATGGCCCTGCTCTTAGAAAGGACCCACTCAGTTAATTTCCCTTCAAGGTATGTGGGCTTGGGACTTGAAGGGGGAAGTTGGAAGGGTGTGATCATTTCAGGCCAAATGCACAGAAATGGTTACATTGGAGGCTGTGCGCCCATTCCTTCCCCTAACCCTCCTCCTTCCAGGCTGAGGATTTCTGTCCCAAGAGTGTGCAACTTGAGAAATAATGAGCTATGTTTTCCTAGCGCTGTCTAGCGGGTCAGGAAATGCACACCCACCAGGACACATGTGGGTAGCAGAGGACAACTTGGTAGAGCTTGTTCTTTTCCTTCCACCATGGGGTTCCCAGGAATCAAACCCAGGTTGTCGGGATTGGCAGGCAACAAAGCCTCCAAGCACTGAGTCATCTCGCTGGCCCTATGACATAGTTTTAGAAAGCCATTTCCAGCGTTAGAAGTGATTAATACATGCCAGGCAGTGGTGGCACAAGCTTTTAATCCCAGATCTCTGTGGGTCCCAGGCTAGCCTGGTCTACTGAGCAAGTTCGTATACGTGCTGGGAGTTGACCTGAGCCATTTCTCCAGCCCCTGATCATTGTATTCTTAGTAATTCAGTAGAACCTCTTCAATCTAATAAAGTAGCTATTTAAATTTTTACTGCATTTGATATGCTATCTGTCATCTTAACAAAACGGTGCGAGTACAATACAGTATTGGTGACTAAAAGGCAGATGTTCTTATTATATCCATTTTATGGTTCAAGAAATAGTAACATCAGTAAGTGAAACAGATTGTTGAAAGCCCTCTCAGGTAGAAGTAGTCAAATGGGTATTGCTGCTAGTAAGTGTGAACTTGGAATTGGTTAGAGTGGCTACCATTTTCCCTAGTGAGCAAAGACATGAATCTACCATCATTTTACTCCAGAAAGACAAAGCCAGATGATATCAAGTTCTATGAGAAAACCAGTTTCTTACACTGCAGTCAACTGACTGACTCATTCTGTGCCTGAGAGAAAATGCCAGATGCCAGGAGTGTTTTCCAAATGATTTCTAAGGAACGAGTAATTATAGCTCAATTACAGTGTGGTTTTATAATGCTGTAACCTCCATGCCATAAAGGTGAGCCATAGAGGATAAAATCAAGGCATTATTAGTAGAGAATCTGAGTGTGGGAACAGGTTCCCGGGTTGTAGGAGGACTAAGGATTCCGTGTGTAGAATCTGGAATGCAAACTCATTTCCTAACGGATTTCACTATTAGATCACTAATTCAGAGTAAGGAACACACAATCACCATAGTGTCCTCAGTGATGTTCTGAATTGTCTAGCCAATAATTGATTTCCCAGGTTAAATATTCGAGCAAGTCAGACCATGGGCTTTGACTACAAGGTTTCTGAATAAAAGTGGTCCCCTAGATTGAAACCTGTCAGTGTGAGCACTGGGCCCTCTCAGGAAATACTTGACTTTTAACTTTGCCTGTGAATGGTAAATGGTGCTCTTATCAAGGCAGGACTTGTTAGATGAATAAATAGCTACCATTCATATTTGTGGGCATGCATTTGTCTGTGCAGGCATATGTACATACTTACACAAGTGCATTTATTATTTTTTGTTTTTAGCTAAAGGCCCCACACATAGTGAGTCAGTGCCCTATCACCAAGTTATAGACACAGTCTCCTGTGAGTGTGTGAGTGTGTGTATGTGCACTTGCACACACACACCCTTTAAATGGTCTTAATCTATTTGCTGTGCTGCTCCAACTCACATTATAGCTTAGGCTAGCCTCAGACTTACCTAAGTCCCCCTGCTTCAGCCTTCTGGGTGCCGGGGTTCTAGGCATGCACTGCCACACCTGAGTTTTCGGCCCTTTTTTCACTTTGACACGGGCTATTTATTTCTTTATTTTTATTTTTTATTTTTTCCTTCCCAAGACAGGCTTTGGAGGCTGTCTGGGAACTAGCTTTTGTAGATCAGGCTGGTCTCGAACTCACAGAGATCCACCTGCCTCCCTAGAGCTAGGACTAAAGATGTGCGCCACCCCTGCCCGGCTTGGCACAGGCTCTTACCAGGTTACCTTGGCTGACCTTGAACTCTTAATAGCTCAGGTAGGACTTGAATTTGTGATCCTCTTGACTCAGCCTCCCAAGTAGCTGTGATTACAGGCCTGCACCACCAGGCCCAGCTGCTTCTTACTTTCTAATGCATTTATATTTACTATCTGCTAAGTACTGGGCTAAATACTTTATAATGTATTAGGTAGCTAAAATGTGTGTATTTATCGTATGATTGTATATATTCTGATTAACTCTGTGGAGGCTTAGCACATTTTTGAAACACCAGTACTGGTGGAGGAGATGCTGAAGTAAGAAGGATGTAGGTCAGATGTCAACTGGACCTACTAGGAGGTTTCAGACCAGTTTGGCCTAGGGTGTGACTTGGTCTCAAAAATGCATACGTATATCGTAATTCTTGTAGCAGTTCTAGGACATTGATATTAGTACTGAAATTTAACAGTAAAAAATTATGAGGTTCTGAAGGCAGGGTTCAAATGAGTTCACCAGACCTAAGATAAATGATAAATAGGTGTTTTATTAGAGAAGCACTTACACAGATAAGAGTAAATAACCACTGTGATCTTCCTGCTCCAGAAGATGCAGTCTCTGCCCTTCCGATGTGCTCTGTGACCCAAGAGAGGACACGCCCATAGCTCCTCTATCTTAAAGGGGTCATGTCTGCACCTGAAACCACACCCAAAAGGTGTGGCCACTACTGCAACTTCACTGGCAAGGCAAGATGCCGCTACAAGGTTCAAAGCCTTTTAAGATATTTCGCCAAGATTGCCCAGATAGGACATAGCAACTGTAAGCACTGTGCCTAAGAAAGAAGTGTATTTGAACTGTAAATACAGCTCAGTTGGGAGAATGCTTACCTAGTGTGATTGACACCCTAAGGTTGATGGCCAACACCACAAAAACTAGGCATGGTGGCTCTTGTCTATAATCCCAACATTCAGGAGGTTGAAGCAGAAGGGTCCAAAGTATCAAGGCCAACCTGAGCTAAATAAGACCTTTACTAAAGATGAAGAGGGGCTGGGGAAATGGCTCTGTGGTTTAGGGTACTTGTTGCTTGTGCAGAGGACCCACATGGTGGTTCACAGCCATACATAACTCCAGTTTCAAAAGAGTCAATGCCCTCTTCTGGAAAAGGAGTTGGGGACAGCTTCTCTGGGCCCAGTATGTGTGCAGTTGGTGTGGCTCTGGCATAATAGAGGGAGCACCATTGTGGAGGATTTACGGCCTGGATTTTGAGCCTAGCTCTAGCTACTGAGTAACCATCTTTAACTTTCCCATCTACAGATTTATTAATATATTAAGTTAGCCTCTAATTTTGTCTTTTTGCATCCTCCTGACTAAACAATCTTTGAAAACCTACATGGACAATGTAGCCGTAGAAAGATCCATCATATAATGGCCAAGATAGGTTACACTGCATGATCAGCAAGAGATCACGTGACCTGGAGAGATGGAGGCACGGACTTCCTGTATGGTCTCAGGGCACTGGCTCCTGCCTTCAGTGCAGGCAGCCTCTGCCCAGACTCAGAGCCCAAGTGCACTGCTGTGGGGCATTCCTATCAGCATACTGCCTGCTCCACCAGCCATGACTGCTAGCATTCCAGACACTTGGAAAGAAAGCAGGTGCTCTCCATAAATCACACTGCCTGTGGATACTTCATGTTGCAAGTATCCTTATCAGTCAGTGACTTAGGAAGCCTTCCAAAGCCAGGCACTCCTACTGGGGATGCTGGATGGCTCTTTCCCACATCACCCGATGGTGAGAACTGAATCATGCAGCACTTAGGAACAGCT